AATCATGCAAAAAAATAAAAAACATGAAAAATATAAAAATGCAAAATAAAAATGCACAAAAATATAAATTAGAAAGAGAAAAATAAAAGAGAATTTTAGAAAATATTTTGGTATTTTTCTGATAAAAATGAAATTATTATGAATTTTTGAAAATAAAAATGAATTTAAAAATAATTTAGAAAAAGAAAATAAAACAGAAAAACAAGGTGCGTTGGATCAAACCTCATCAAATGACGTTTCAGATCCAAAGATCAGAAAGCGCGCATCCATAATGGACACTAGTCAGCTCATGCACACAGATCCATTTAAAGTCAAAGGCCTGCGATTAAAAGAGGTGGCATGATGAACGGTGAGATCATCATCTTCAACCTTCAGCCACCTGAAACACCCAAGGATCTGCAGAAAATTATGGATCCCTCAAACCATAACCAATGGAGCTCATACTAGTTTCATTTGATGCGTCTTTTCAAGACAATCTCAACCATATCATCGCGCCAAATTTCTTTAAACTACAACTCACTCGATTTGAAAAAAACCAGAACAAGATTCAAACACAAATTTGAAAATTCAAGAACAAAACTCAACTACAACTAAAAACTAACTATACAAACAACATCAGCATATCAAGGATTATATCTTAGCAACAAATTTGAAGCAAAACGGTTGAGAATTATACCCGTTGAAGCTCATCCTTGAAGCTCTGAAAATGGAGTTCCCTAGCTTGATTCAGGCCATGATTCTTCAAGTTCTTGATCTGGTTAGCTTGACTGAATGTTGGTGAAGCTAACTGAGTGGAGAATTTGAGTGTTTAAGGTGTGGAAATGGAAATTCGAAGTGCAAGCTCAAGAGTTCAAATGGGATCTTAGCAGAGTGGTTTTGGCTATCAAAAGCTTGTGGAAATGGGTGGAAATTACTCCATATTTATAGGAGAAGCTATCTGAATCAAAATGGAGGGTGAATGAGGCAATTTGGATGGAAATCATGCACACCTGGAGCATGCTCAAAGTGTGACTTGAAATCTGTCAAAACTCACTCAAAACTTGCGTTTCAAGGCTCTAATCAACCCATGAAAGTTGGTTAATCATGTTTAGATTGAATTCGTGGCTTAATTTGGTGATTAGAGGCCAATTCAAACAATTTCAATTCTGACTTGGAGAGAAATCTCAGCTTTGAAATTCAAACTTTGCAACCATGGTGCTCACAATGTAGGAAGCTTTTTGGGATGATTCTTCTTGCATTGGATAGAGGGAGATGAAATCTTTGCAATGTGAAAAGAAAGTATTGATTTGGCAGCTTGAGTTGAGAGATATGGTCCTTCAAAGTAGCCTCCATGAGAGAAGTGAAAATCATAAAACACTTGGAAAATTTTGAAGTCTTTTAGGGACCAAAAGGAGACCTATAATGTTTTGATGAAAACCAAGACCTTCCATGGGTTTTTAGCTCTTCCATGTTGAATCAAAGTTGTAGAGGACATCTTCAAGTTAATATAGAAAACGAATGGGCTCCAAATGACAAAATTTGACCAAGTTATGCTCTTTTAAAATTGACCTAGAAATCCTTCCAAAACTCAAAATGACCTATAATGTCTTGAAACTTTTGATGACTTTCCAAGCATAATTTGATCTTTCCTTGCAAAAAGAACTTATTAGGGATGATGAGAAGCATTCATTAGAATAAGAACCACCTCAAGATGTTGAAAATTGAAGGAGTTATGCTCATTTGATCATGGCATCCACAAATTGCCATATTATGTCAAACACCTTGCACCAAACTTGAACCTCTTGATGATTTCTTACATAATAAGCCATGGTGAAACACACATGATGTTGGAATGATGTTTCCTTGAACCATATTTGATGATGATGGATTTCTAGGGTTGAGAATACCACAAAGTCATGGAGAAAACCTTGCTTGAACTTGAAGAAACACAACCTTCTTACTTGAGAAACAAACCATGATACTTTGATCCCCTGCCAAGAAAAAAAATGCTAAGCAAACATGAGTATGAAGATGCGAAGAAACATAAGCCAAAAACACAAGAGAAGATGAGCAAATTTTGGGGTGCTACATCAAGCACCACCAAATTATCAACCTCTTTTCAAAATCAACAAAATAAGGGGTAAAGAAGGACTCAATTTGATCATATCCCAGTGACCTATTCTAAATTGTTCCCAACTCTGATCCAAAAAAACCTTGTGCAAACTCGGCCTCCCTCTGTTGTGCCAAAAGATTTTCCTTAGTGGTACAAGCCTGAGGCCTATTGTGCTTTTCATCAGGGTGTGTCGGGGCATGACTTGGAGAATTATTTCATTCTGAAGGCTGAAGTGCAAAGATTAGTAAAGAGTGGTATTTTAAATTTTGAAGATAATAGTCCAAATGTGCAAGCTAATCCGTTACCGAAGCATGGTAACGCCTTTGTTAATATGGTGTCCCTACACATACCGTGTCTTTGATGTGCGTTTTATCAAACAATCCCTAGTTGAGATGCATGCAACCCTGTATGAACTAAGCTACTATGAAGACGATCACGCCTCCAGTCGTATATGTTCAAGAAGTCCCCGAGGGTGTGTTGTAGTGAATAGAGATTTAAAAGAGATATTAGATAAGAATCTTATTCAAGTTTGCAGATATAGGAATGAAGACCACAATGTGAACGTCATAGTTCCACATTTCAACATTCCAGAGCGAGTTGTTATTTCCTACAATAGTCAGAAGTCTGTTGTGACACCATTGGTTATTCATTTTCCCGGTCTCGTTGTCATACCCTAATTTAAACCCTAAGATCTCACCTCTTTGTGCATCATCTTACATAATATATCTAGGTCATATGGTCTTGGTGTGTGTGCTTATTATGACGAACAAGTGTGTGCAAGTGCAATAATTTCAAGTGTAGATTCTCGGTCAAGTGCGTTAAAGGCGTGACCAGGTGGTTCTGACTCAGAATGGTTCTAGGATTTTCTACTGGTCATTTTCCTCAGAATTTCTTAGAAGTTTTAGAGTATACCCCCGAAGAGGATCAGGGTTTTCTTTCCATTGAGCATGGTCAGGGTTTTGTGGACTGCTCGAGTTTTCATTAGATCGAAGTGTTTCATGGATTGAAACCATATTATAAAGACAGTAATTGAGTTGTGATTAAACTAAAGATGGAAGATTAATGGATTCGTATGATTCGAGCTTCTTCAAAAGGGATTAAGTATCTTGGGGATTTATTTTGGCCAAAGGATTTGATTTAAGTTTGTGTGGTTTTCTTGGAATTCAAGTAACAAGGTGGATTATTCCTAAACCATTTTCCAAAAATCCATTCTTTCCATATCCATTTCTTAATTCAAAATCCATATTTATTTTTAACTAATGTAAGATCTGTTTTCAATTCAAATTCACATTTTAAAATCCATATTCAAACCATTCCCCAAACTATAACCAAGATTCATATTCAACCAAGCATCCATATCTTTTTCCATGTTAATCCAATACAGTGTCCATAGTCCATCAACTTACATTGGAAGCAAGCTTGTGCCGACAAGGCATTAGTTCGCATGTACTCTGAGCATAGACTAAATTAATGATACATCTAGACGCACCTTTTTTCATTAATATATTCACCATGGCTTATGATTATTAGAAAGTTAGCAAACATCAAAAAATTTCTCAAGTAATTGGATCATATCATTTATGCCATCATGGAAAGATAAATGACCATCATACAATATTTTAATTCATCAGGCCTATTTAGGATTGAAACGTATTGAAAGGTGATAAAGGACTAACAATCACAACTTATTTGTATATGGGATAGAATTCTTGCTATCATGATTACACAACTATGTTGTTGCAGGTTGAGAGGTTTTTCCATTGGGACACTTGAATAAGCCGACTCGGGACAGAAACCAAGTTTTCTCGGCAATACTGATCTTCAAGTGCCTGCTTCAACCCGGTTCTCGAATGACACTACAAAAATACGGCTATAGGATGAGCGAGTTTGTTCTCTTCAGATGAAAGTTTGATGTCAGAAGGATTTATTCGAATTTCATGAACTGGATTCTTCGTGTCGAGGCGATGCAACCTATCACTTTGTTCCAAACAAGCTAGTACCTGCACACACAAAAAGAAAAAGAAAAGAAGAATCTCACACGAATAACCTATCCACAAATGATACATTGAGATGCAGGCCTCAGTTGAAATTCATCAAACCATAAATAAGAAAATCAAACATAATCAAGCATTCAAGATTGAGCAAGTGAAGAAATCCAAACTTGTTCGGGACATGTTTGAACCAAATAAAAAACAACAATTACTACATGTAGCATGAAATCATACCAGGGAATCCAAGTCATTCAACACATGATAATATTCCCAAGACATGTTTCAGACATGTTAAATTGAAAAAGGCAAGAAGTTCAAATGTGCTTGAACCTATCTGAAGAAAAAACAGAAATGGCATCACTATCATAAAGTTGTGTTCCTAGCAGATTATGGTCTTTCCAAAACAAATATCAAAACAACATTGATTTCTTTCCATGTTCAGAATTCAAAAACGCGACAATTACACTTATAAAAAGGAAAGAAGTGTAAGAAGATGAGGACGCAGTGAAAGACATACACACACAACCAGAAAAACATTATCACCACACACATACAAACACAACAACACACAAAATAGGGGGAGAGAAACAACATGGAATAGTATAGCAGCGGTAATATTAATTTATCACCATAGAAACAAGAATGCACAACAGCATTGGATCGAAAAGAAAATCGGAGGAGAGAGGAAATAAAGTACCTGCAAAATCTCCATCGCAAAGTTACCGCATTGGAGCTCCTCATCGGTAAGTGTTAATTGTTTCTGAACGTATCCTTCACCTCATTGCCATCCCAATTAAGCATTTAGAATGTTTGTCTCCATCTTTGTGTCTTCCATCCTGAACCAATATAAATGAAAACTAAAACCTTTAATCTATTGTTCTTATCAATTCATTGCTACCGAATAATTCAACGAATGAATGGACCCAAATCATGGTCTGGACCCAAATGTGGAGATTGTACCGAAGTGAGTAAATATTCTGTTAATTTGACTAATATGTATTTTTTAGCTGTTTTTGTTCCTGCAGACTAGATAATTGGTTCTTGTGTTTTCTTATATTTATTAGGGGTATCCTTGGCTGGGGAAGTAAATCATCATCTTCTGCATCAAATGCATGGGGTTCTTCTGTGTCTCCAAATGCCAATGTTGGGCCTAGTTCACCCAGTCATCTCAGTACCCGCCCTTCATCTGGTGGAAGTGGCACACGGCCTTCAACTTCTGGTAGTGATAGGGCTTCTGAACTAACTACTGGTGCATGGGGGTCAAGCTCCCGGCCTTCATCAGCATCAGGGCCACCAACATCAAATCAGACTTCTCAGGCATCATTGCATCCTCGCAGTGCTGAAACAAGACCTGGTAGTTCACAATTATCTCAAGTTGCTGAACATGGGGCTAAAAATCCAGTGGCTTGGAATGCTGCTAGAACTACAGAGACACTGGTAGGCTTCTGTTCTTATTTGTGGTTAGTCACTTCATACGGCGTTTTTACTGTAATTTATATGGTATCAAAAGATTAATAGATTGCTTTAACCAATGTTGAAGATGTTGCAATGACAATGACAATATTGATGTGCGAGTTTATTCGCATGTATGTAGCTAACAATTTCCAGTTCACACCTTCTATATTCCTTTGGTTTGAGAATGATACAATATGTTTTTAATAGGCATAGTTTCTTTGTTAATGAAATGGAACTCAATCAATGTGAATCTATAGTGTGTATTTTTTTGTAACATGAATCTCATCTTGTACACAGATTCGCTATGATGAATCCGGTTTCATTATGATGAACCTGATTCATTCTAATGAGTCACTACCTATTTAGTATAGCCAGCCATGTTTGTTTTTGTCAAATTCCCTAACATGCTGTCAAATTGTTTGGATTTAGCATTTGTCATTTTAAAATGGATAATAAACTAGTTGTAGGAGGATTTGAACTTGGCAATATTTTGAACTCTTGATCTTCATGTTAGAATTGTGTTGGTTTGACAAATTAGTAATTGATTTTGAAAACAATGTTTGAATTAATGTGAGTGTTGACATTGGTAAACACCAAGTTTGTTACTGCTTCTGTTCAGATTTTACTCATGAGTTTGTTAACTTTCAAAACATTTTTGCTTGACTGGTGCTTTCATCTTGTTTTTACAACTTGCTATTAAAGCTATGATAGTAGTAATTGGCATTGTAATGACCAACTCTCATCGTCATGGATTTTTGTATATTGAATATTGTCATCAAGTGTTCCATACTTGGAGGGCACATTGTGCATCATGGTTTGCTAATCCATGATGACAGGTTTTAGGCAGTCTAGGTAGGGACTTAGTAGATTTCTTTGTATGTTCTTTGCTGGTGTGGTCTATTGAAAGGGCGTTGTCATGTGTGTTTAGTTGAATTCATGACAAGACTAAGTTCCAAACATTCATGACAAGACTAAGTTTCAAACATTGATGACATTGAATTCATGTGTGTTTAGTAGATTTCTTTATATGTATTTTGTATTCCAATATCTTGATGAATATGATATTATCATTTCTCTTTATCCTAAGTGTTACTGCTCTAAATTTATCTTTGTAATCACAGTTTGTATACAGTTTTGATAATCTGTGACTGTCACTAGGGCAATAGGGTTATGTTGTTACTAGAGGGTTGATATTTTTGTATTGAAATCATGATCTTTCCTGTCAAAACTATTTTTAAATGGAGTTTATTAGCTCTTAAGGCATTGCTGTTTTAAAACTTGTTTTTCATACTAAAGGTTGGTTGGTGTTTGTTGTGGCAAATTGGTAACCTTCATTTTAAAGGCAACATATTAGTGTCATGACCCCTGTTGAGATGATTCACACATGCTGAAGCATATGTGTAATACCCCAAATTTTACCCTTATATTTAGTCAGTCATTTCGCATATCATCTCATATGTACATTTGCTAACCACTAACAAGTTATGGAGTTGTTTGTTTTGCAGATTTGGTTCCAGGGGTATTTTGGTCATTTTACGTAAATTCTGTTAATTCCTTGAAAAACGGGCTGTTATTACGTTCTCAGGCATTTATTTGCCACTTGGGTCAAGGTGCCGGTATGTTTTGGACTCGGGGCCGTGCTTTGTTTGATGTTGAAACATTTCTAAAACAGTTTTGTTTCCTCTTAATAAGATGAAGTTGGGTTGAAAAGGAAGTGGATACTGTTAAGGTTATTTTGAGAAGTGATGTGATCAACGAGGTTTTAATTTGAATTTGTTTGGATATAATCATATGGAGGGATATCATTTATAAAAGGCAAAGGAGAAGTAAGTTTTAAATATTTTTGAACTTTGTGTTCATAAGTACTTATAAGTTACAACTCAAGAAGGAATTTAAATGATTCTGAATTATTATTCATGGATACTTTGAATTTACAAGTGAGAAAGTAAATATGAATATTTGTTGAATTTCATTTCATAAATATTTATAGTTTACAAATTGATAAGTGAATTTGGATTTGGTTTACAAGAGGTTTCATTTACAATAAGTATCTATCCTAAATCCTAAAAAGTTCCTAAGTGTCTTCATGATGTCTTTAAGCTTCGCCGCAGAATCTCCAAATTCACCTGCACATTAAAACAAAACAAACAGTATAGAAAAAGGTTAGGAGTTGTTTTTGACACTCTCAGAACAATGTCATCATCGAGTGCCGGGAGTGGCACAACCGAAGCTGCGTCCTACCCCCGTTACCGATCCGCGCCGTGGGCGTCAGATCAGGTAACACCTGTTCTTATCGTTACGGGACATCCGAGAGATAGAAGTGATAAAAGAAGCGGGACTGATTCGTTTTGCCGCGATTGGATTTCTGAACTGATACGAGAATAAGGCAACATAGGCAAGATTGGACTCAGACCCGGATGCCGGCAGGTCTGAGTCGCTTTAGTTTCAAAAGATTCCAACACCTGAAAAGCCACAAGCATCATCAGTACAACAAAACTCAAAGCATAAACAAAACTAGGCAAGAAGGAGCTCGCGCCAGTACAAGTATGAAGAGGCACCAAAGAAACAGATCTGTTACAAAGATTCAGAACGAAAACCAAGCCTAAAACAGAACGAAAACCAAGTGAAACCAAACTGCATTGAATGGCCTCAACAAAGTATCAGAAAAACGAAGTGCAAATCACAACAGCATCATACGCGGCATCAAAGCCCTCGGCTCAAACATCATTGCACAACAGCATCAAACATGGTGTAGCAGCAGAATGCAAACAACCAAATCACATCATACCAGAAAAAGCAATTAACGATGGCAAGTCATCATGACAAACCAACATGCTATTCTGCTCACAACACGAGCAACAAACGAGATCATAGCGTCTTCTCTGAAGGGCTCAGTCAGAGCATCATTGCCCTAAAACAGAAAGTTGGGGACCTGAAGATTAAGAGTTGAAACAGGTTAGGTTGTCACAAGCATCTCAGTTCATGAAATAAACAAGTGCACAAACACATGGCTCAGTCACCAATTCAATCAGATCAAAAGCCAGGATTGTAGTATCTTGTTCCAAATGGTTCAGACAAACGTCATCATTACCGCGTACTCTTCTCGGCGGCAAAGATCAAGGCAAAGCGTCCGTCCTGAAAGAAGAAGAAGAAAAGTAAGTGTTAATGATCAAGTTGAATGAAAACAGATCGCAATATCCAATCAGGTTTGGTCCCAAAACAGATCAAAACAAAATCTCATCAGGAACCAAATCGGTATCCAAATTCCCCAAAGGCAATCCAATCCACATCTGCAAAAGTCTAATCAGAAAATGATCAAACCAAATCGAATCTGGAAATGGAAAGTTTCGAGTCAGGTCCAAATCGTATCCCATTGGAACTCAATCTGGAAAAAATCAAAACAAATCAAAACGAATCAATACAGATCGGTCAAACAAATTAATCTCAGATATCAAACGGATCCAATAAAATCAGAATCGTATCAAAAATCCCAATCTAATCCTGAAAGAAGAAACAAGATTCGTTCAGTACCAAGCAAATCCAATCAGCATTGAAAAAAGTTCAAACACAAGGACCTACGTTCCAAAAGTCCCAAATCAAATCATCAAAATCAAATCTCAGCCAAAAATAGCACAAATCCACACGGATTAAAGGCCCAAAAGTTAGTTATAAAAAGGAAGATACCACCTGTGAGAAGGAAGGTTAACGGGAGCGCCGCGAGAGAACGAAGAAAGGAGAAAATCGCAGAAACCCTAACGAAGAACACACAAATCGCAAACCCTAACGAACGAAAATTGCGAGACTCAGAGGGACCGGCACCTTCATCATCGTCTCCGACGAATAAACATCATAAAACCACGAGCGAAGCACCAACGAAGGGGAAGATCGCCTTCGCCGTTTAAACGGCGGGCAATCAACTCCAAGCCTCAGAGGAAACCCTCATCACCGGCCGTTCACCATAAATGTAAGATATCTCCCTCACAACATTCGTGTTTAATTTCAGGTTACTGAGGAAAATGAAGAACATCGAGAGAGACGGTGAAGAGAAGCGAGAGAGATGAGAGAAGATGAATACGTGAATGGCGCCGTAAGGAGCATTAGGGTTCCCAGAACCCTAATTGTTTCTCAATTAAGCCACTAACCGGGTTGGGTCCGGGGTGATGACCGGCCCAACCCCTTATGCTTTATTTTTTTGTATTTTGTTTTATTTTGTTTTTTTTTAATTATGTTTTTTTTTGTTTTAAATTGTTTTATATTTCTTTTAAAACCTTTTTTATGTAGATATTATACTTAAATAAAAATCTTTTTATAATAAAATTAAACAAAACCTCTTTTTTTTAAAAATAAAAATTAAAACTTTTTTAAAAAAATATAAAACTAAAACTTTTGTAAATATAAAATGAAAAACTCTTTTTAAATAAAAATAAGAAAAACTTTCCTTAAAATATTAAAAATAAAACCTTTTAAAAGAGTAAAATGTTTTAAATTAAATCTTTTTTTTGCAAGCTAATATTAAAAAATTGTAATAATCTCAAATTGGTATCTTTTTCTTTATTGTTTCGTAATTAATTTGATTGCCGCCTAACTGTTGCCCACTAACGCCGTTTGTTCATTTTGCAGCTCAATACTTATCTTATCTCATTATCATATTGTATATGTTTCTCGGTTGTAACCTCGCGAACCAATAATCGCGCTTTAAGTTTCTGCCTTTAAATTTCTGTTTGTATGGCTTTAACTGCTGTCTTTATTTTCTGCTTGCATGATTCAATCACCTCAATATTCCAGTCACACTACGCACCTCCGAAGGAATTAGGTCTAGCCGTTTGACCGCCGTGTCAATAGTCCTCACCTTCAACCCTTACACCTTTTCAACCCTAAATTTTCACAAATGCCTCGCCGCAGGCAAGATTACAATTTTACCCCTAGCATTAGGTCAAAGAGCCGCCGCGCTCATTTTAGGGTTTCCCGTCGTGGAATCCCTAACCTAATTTAACCCTAATTACAACTTAACAATTCAACGTAGAGATTTGGAGTTTCTACACTCCACGTAAGCGTGTCCT